ATTTCACCTCGAGTTTACGCAATTCCACAGCGATTAAGTTTTCCGAAAAAACGCTTCTGCTGTGGAAATTTGGTTTCGCGATCATCGCCTCTGCGCCGTACCGACCGTCCCACTTTGTTAATAATTTTACATCGACACGATTGCGCACATTTTCCATCGTTTTGCCAAACACCATATTATTCATTAATTTGTATAAATTTTTTTCGAAATCATTTTAGCCAACGTTCTGAAATGTGTATTTAATTCTATATAATTTTGAAGCCAGGGAGATTGAGAAAACTGTAAAATTCGATGTATTTTTGTTACACGAAGGCCGTGCCGCGTACACTGCTGCAGGTTGCGGTAGTGTATCACGTAACGCTTCTTATCGTATAACGTTGCAAGCAGCTTGAATTCTCGCTTGCCAGGTGGTTTGTCGCGTGTCGGGCAAAACGGTAGATCAGTGTGCGCATCGTGAAGATGTTGCGGGTACTCGAGATCCACTTCGAGGATATAGCCCGTAGATGAATCTAGCGCGATGGATGATACGTCAAAATTTGACACATCGTCGACCCATCGAAAATCAGCATAGGGCAATGGTTGACACATTGCCCATCCGTACAAATTATTTACATCAAAGTACATCAAGTACGATGATGGTTTCGATGGATCGTACGACTCCATGTACTTGTTATTAGCGCGAGCGTATCTACCCGAACATTGGCTCAGACCACCGCGTATACCACGTTCGATAAACATAACCATGTCGATGTCTGTAAGCAACTCGAATGTGATCTTTGTATGCTTCAACATGGCGTCCCACGTGTATCCGGGGAGAGTATAGTAATACGCGGGGTCGAGTCCGTAACTTTCGATACATTTATCTCGAAAGTTTTCGAAAATGTCGGCTAATAACAAGACATCAATTTTGAGGTACAAGTCGCTATATTCGCCTAGCGTCCCGAATGGAGAATCGTGTCCAGACGTTCTCGGCGTGCGCGTAATCGCTCTCGGATACAGTTTCACCAGTCAAGGAACTGTAAAACGATTCGCGCGGTGGTAAACACGTATCATGCAACCTGTCGACGGAATCGATGTATTCGTACGGAAATATACCTTTTCGCGTTAACAAATTGAAATTTTCTGTTGATAAATTTTGAAATTCCGATTTTAAAATTTTAAGCTTATCTTTGTCCAAAAATGATGCCAATTTATCGAGACTCGATGCGAGAAATTTGTATGAATCGATGAAACGTAATTTTATTTGATTTTTTGATTCTTCTTCTTCTTTAAGATCAACACTTTTGGTAAACGAAATATATTTTTCCTTGGTTATCGGTAATAACTCGATTTTCCCTTCGAACGCTGTGGCTATTTCCTCGATGATAAAATGAGAATCGTAACCGGATAAATTGTGAAACACCATCGGAATACAAAAAGAATCTTTATAATTTAGATTACAATTTGAGTGTGCAGGACCTCTGTACCGCCCGGTCAGATGGCAATGATCGCGTACGCGTGTATCGTCTTGCGCAAACGGCTTTTCGCATATATGACAACGAGTGGCGCTATGGAATTTCTCCCACTCTTCGAACATTAAATTTACCATGGGGACATTTGTTTTTAAAATATTCTTAACGCGAATTGCCAAATTTTTAAGGTCTTCGGCGAACCATGCTAAACAATCGGCGCTACGACGCGAATGATACGCCGATAATGAGTCGTCGTACGAACAATGTACATAATAAGCTAAACTAAATACTTGATGATGTTGATATAATTTTTCTTCTTCCTTCTTGGCTAGAACGCATTCCAAGTCGGCGTAGACCACGAATGGAAGCCGCTCCTTCCGATTAGGGTTACTGAACTCGAGCCACTTGTCCTTGTCGCTCGGCAATCGGACAGCGCAATCGTTTAGCTTTCCGCAGTCGATCGTATGCGACTGCAACTTGGCGTCTGAATAAAAATAATGAAGACATCTGTAAAAGAAAAAAAATTTTTTTTATCATAAGATTTTTTATATAAATTATAATTTTCAAATAATATAAAATACACTTACCGGTCGCAGATATATTTCTTGTGATAATTTTTGGTTAGTTGTGAATTCACGAGCCGGGATAAATTTTTGATCCAAGCGAAATGTCCCACGCTGTTGTCATCTTCAATGTACAGCAGGTTCACATGCTTGTCCCACTTCTGATCCGAAAGACGTATCGGGACAATGTTTTTGTCTTCGATGCCGTACACATTGATTGAAATGTCATTTGCATGTTCAAATTTCTTAATCTGATTCACAGTCATTGGAAACTCAATGTCCCGGAGATTCAGCACTGTCGCGTAATGCGGGTACGATGATTCCCGTTCCGCGTTCCTTTCAGCGGGATACAGAGCGGCGACCACTGCCCACGCGAAACACGCATTGTCCTTTGATTGCACGTTAACCACCGCTCTCTTCATCATAATCTCCCGCGGCAATTTAATGTGACATCCCGCGCGCATGGGATTGTACTTGTTAATATTTACAGTCAAGTTCAGTATTCGCGACAAAGCCCACCCGCTATCGCGTTCCTGAAACTCTTCTAGCGACGCTAGGGTGGACTCGATAACATGCCGTTCGTACCACTTGCGTAAATCGGATGTGCGAAAGAGTTCATAGTTTCTCGTATTCACACCTTTATTCGCGTGTTTATCACCCGACACAAATTCGCCGTTGAATATAGTGTTCACTTTTACACTGTTGTGTTTTTTTAAAGCGTCCTGCACATGTTCCAACACAATGTCTTTGGCGTCATCGAGAAATTGGCGTGGTTCGATGTGATTATAATTTATCACCGCACCAGTCGATACGCGACTCTCGAACACCGTATCAATTTCGCGCCACACAAGTGCATTTTGACGCGCACTACATCCGGCACCCACGTGTACGAAACGTCCACGTACCGAATTTTTCAAACCTTCGAGGCGCGCGATCCGAGCAATCAGTGATTGTCGATTTCCGATCGATAATAGCGGCCGTTTGATTCGACTTTGCTCTTCCAGCGACTCGATGTACTCGTCGCATCGTTGCTCCCACACAATGTAGTTTTCCAACGAATCAAGCAAAGCGGATTGTTCTCGCAAAATTTGCTCCTCCATATTGCTAACGTACACTTGCAAAATTTAGCGTTTCTAATGACTGTCCTGATGCACTTTAGCTACTGGTGGGGTGCGTCCCTCTATCATGATTTATATATCGTCTCATGCATTGTTTTATCATCGAACATTCTAGAACGATTTCATCTTACAAAAAATTCCCCGTAGTACCGTGTGCAATTTGACCTTGATAATTTCACGTTTTGTCACGTACATTTGAAAAATCTAACATGATTGCATCAGGGGCAACCGTATATCGACGCTTGATTTTAGCGCTTTCAGCTAAATCTTTGTCTGGGGATGATGCATGTTTTAACCTTGTCGGTCATTTTTCACTATTTGTCACATACATTTGAATAATTTTAACGTGATTGCATCAGGCGCAGCCATACATCGGCGCTCGATTTTAATAAATTCAGCTAAATCTTTGTCTAGGGATGATACACATTTTAACCTTGGCGGTTATTTTTTCACTATTTGTCACGTACATTTAAATAATTTTAACGCGATTGTATCAAGCGCAGCCGTATATCGACGCTTGATTTTAGCAAATTCAGCTAAATCTTTGTCTAGGGATGATACACATTTTAACCTTGGCAATTATTTTTTCACTATTTGTCACGTACATTTGAATAATTTTAACGTGATTGCATCAGGCGCAGCCGTACATCGGCGCTCGATTTTTGCAAATTCAGCTAATTCTTTGTTCCGAAGATGATGATGTCATCGCAGCCGTACATCGGCGCGACAAAATTTTGGAGGAAATTAAAATGTTGCGTCAGCAATAATCCCCTCTACATCATAATTTGGGATACTATTTGAATTGATATTGATTCTAATACGATTGCAGTATTGCATCAATCGCGCGTGTGAAAGGTTCACCGCTGAAGAAATATGAATTTCTACGTTCCGATTCGAAACGGTGAAACTCCACCGTGTAAGAATCAAAAATGCGACACGTAAGTTTAAATCGTTTAAAAAATTTTTTACTTTATGATTTTTAATATTGTTGTCTAATTATTTATATTTTTATAGTATTCAGCCTCGTCGTGCGGCTCGCATATTTGGAAGAAGATACGCTCTAACCCCGACGTCGTACAAGTATTTGGATATTGGAATAAGCGTTGGAGCTGTATCGTACGTGGAACTGATTCTCGGCGATAATCGAGGTAATCAAATAGTGTTGCCCTTTTCAACGTGGAATTTGTTGATGCGGAAGCAAGCAGACGTTGAACAATTTCTACAATCGACTACTCCCCCATTAAGGATTGGAGATTTAACGATTGAAATGTATCAATCGAAAATTGTAAAACTCACATTATGTGAAAATTCTTTGTACATGAAACCAGAAACATTATTACATTTATTTAATTTTGAAAATTGTATCGATCATATGCATAATTGGTTATGCGAGAATACGTATCTCGTAAATGAAAAATTTAAACAATTTGAAACTGTATTACAACGTAATAATATTACTACTGTATGCGATGCTGTAAAAACGATACGCGAGAGTGATGTCTTTGACAGCGAATCATTGATCAATTGCGAATTATTAACATGTGCTGTAAATGATATTCTTTACGATGCGCGCAATAAATAATTATTTTTATTCAATCTATGATTTTATTTCTTTCCTTCCATACGAATAAGAATAGTCGACAATTTTTTCTCAACACGCTCCGCCAAAGATGTAAAGAAATGCTGAGGTAGATGAGACGCGATGCTCTAGTTGGAATGAGACGCGAGATATTAAAAAGATATATAATGAAGAGGAGTCTGCTGCACTAGAGTATCATTTCTTTCATTGTTCTTTGCGTTTCGTTAGTCTTGTGTGTTACGTTAGTGCAATGATCGAAGAAGACGTAATTTTCATCGACGATGAAGATATGGATGATGATGATTTGACGGATCCTGTTGAAGAGGAAAATGCGATAGAGAGAAAACCTGAAACCCCTTTTCTGATTAGTGATGTTGAAGAGTTACTTCAAATAGAGCGGGAACAATTTTCGAAGAAAAATCTGAAAACTTCAGTTGTGCAATTTATAAGACATCAAGAGCTCGGCTTAAAAAAACCCCGCACAAATTCGTTGAGGACATTTCTCCAACATCGAGATGTTGTGTGTATAGAGTTGAAAAATGTGATGCAAGATTTTGTATAAATGCGAAGGACCTCAATCACACTATATTAAAATGCTTTCGAAATAGACTATGTGATAACCTTGAACTACTACACGAGATTGAAAAGATAGAAGAAGATAATCGTGAGAATAAGCTACGGGAAGGCTTGGAAACGTTGAAGGTAAAAATATTTTTGTTGATGTGTAATAAATTTAAAACATTTACAATTATTATGTTTAATTTCAGAGTTCACGAGAGTACATGAACAGTCAACGAGAGGATAAACAGATATGCGAATCCAAACCTGTGCGAAAATTAAAATTGAGAGTATTGCATATAGATGAGAATGGAGAATATTACATACCATTATATTAATACGTAATACGTAACATACCATTTATATTATATCATGAAGTATCCTAAAATAAATTATTAAAATCTAATAAAATTTGTATCTGTTCTTTTACAGAAGCGGTCTCCCATTAGCCCGGCGCAACGCCTCCTCAGCTTGGCGCATCACCTCTTAAACTTCCTGGAGCGACCCCTTAGCCTTCCAAGAGCGGCCTCACCCCCCCCCCTGCACCCTTAATTATATTTTAAATTTTATTATTTCTTATATTTTATTATTCTTATTATATTAATCATAATTTAAGCACATACACACACACACACACACAATTGTAAATACACACATTTTTAATAAATTTATATTTTATATTTTGATGTAAAAAAAAATCTAATTATTTATGCACCTCTCCATGCGTCTCTCTTGCGCTAGTTGTAAGTCTCGCGATATTGTCGTTCTCTCTCGCACGTGTTGTCTTCGCGGTATCGTTCTCTCTCTCGCACGCGCACTAATTGTAAGTCTCGCGATATTATCGTTCTCTCTCTTGTACACGTCGTCTTGGCGCTATCGTTCTCTCTTTCATATGCGTTCTCTCTCACTCGCGTTGTTCTCTCTCGCACGCGTTGTTATTTTCGATATTATCGTTCTCTCTCTTTCGCTTAGAATATACTCGTTGTTCACTTACCTTTGCGTCGTCCTTCTCCCACCTATACGCCGTCCTTGTCCCACGTTAACGCCATCCTTGTCGCACTCGTAGCACTGTCCTCTTCATACACTTTGCACTGTCCTTTTCCTTTTCCATACGTTGCGCTGTCCTTCTCACGCTACCGTCTTCTTTCCGCTGATCCCCCTTCACTGCGCGGACCCCCTCGTCCATCGGTCGCGCCGCGGATCCCCCTTCACTGCACGGACCCCCTCGTCCATCGCTCGCGCCGCGGATCCCCCTTCACCTCGCGGACCCCCTCGTCCATCGCTCGCGCCGCGGATCCCCCTTGCCCGCGGGTGACGTCACCCGCCGCGCGCCGCGGTTCCTCCTTCCCCGCGCGTGACGTCACTCCCCCCCGCACCGCGGTTCCCCTCGCGCCTCACCCCCCGGACCTGAGTTAGAACTGACATAGTCTCACTACTCTTCCCTCCCCTCCTCTTTTTGTACGAATCATTTGTTTTTTTAAAAAAAAAGTTCGTTCTCTCGATCATCCTTCTCTCGTCCGAGCGTATCTCCCCTCCCCTTCCCTCCTTCTTCTCCCTTGTACGACGTTTTCTCGCGTTCGAGAGAACGATATATCGTCGAAGGACGCGCGCGCGCGATAGTTCGCTACCGTCCCGACCCCCGCGCGCTAGCACCTCGCGAGAGCCATGACGCGTCGCGTTATCGCTCGCGACGATATCCCTGCTCGCGGCCGTCGCGGCGGCACTGACCTACGATGACGTCGCGGAGGCGTCCCCTTATCTTCGAACCTACGGCTTTCTAGAGAACGAGGAGAATCATCAGCAGTCGTCGCTATTGGACAACGCAACCGCCTTGAGTGAAGCGCTATCATTGTTTCAGGAATACTACGCCCTGCCGGGAAACGGCGTTCTGACCGTGGAAACGATTCGCGTCATGCGCAGGCCGCGATGCGGCGTCGCGTACATTCACGCTTACAGCCCGTTGACGAGAAAGTGGCCGAAGACGCATCTCACGTGGAACTTCAAACTAGCGAACAGAGGTACTCTGCGCATGACTCAGAGCGCGTTCGCTTTGTGGTCCGAGCAATCCTCTCTGACGTTCTCGCGCGACCCGCTGCGCCCCGATATACTGATATCCTATCAATCCGGCGCTCACGCGTACGAGAACAGCGACAACGGGGGCTCATGCCCGTCGCCGTTCGCCGGACCGGGATCGGTCGTCGCTCACGCGTTCTTTCCGACGGGAGGGCCCAATCAAGTGACCGAGGTGCACGTCGACGAGACGGAGCCGTGGCACATCACGCTGACCAGGCCCTCGTCGGACAGGCTGTATCTCCTTCAGACGCTGACGCACGAGATCGGTCACACTCTGGGTCTGACTCACAGTATGAGGGAAGATTCGGTCATGTACGCGTACACGCCTTCGGAGGAAAGGCGATATCCGCTCAGGCTGAGCATAGAGGACGTCATAAACGTGCGAAATCTCTACGGATCGAGAGAAACGACGAATCCTACGATCGTCGACGCTACTCCGACGACCGCGGCGACGACAACGGCCTCGACGACGACGACGACGACGGCCGCGGCGCCGCCGACAACCGCGAGGACGGTTAAGCCGCCGCTCGCTCCCTCCGATACCGCGGATCTATGCGCCTTGAAGCGCGTAGACGGAACGCTAATCATGAATCGTCGCTTGTACGTCGCGCGTAAACGCAACGTGTGGCCCGTCGATATGAGGGAGAGACGCTACGGAGCGCCCTTCTCGTTCGCCGACTACTTCTAGTTCCTCCCCCGCAATCTCACTAGCGTATCGGCCATGTATCAGAGACCCTCGGGCGATATCGCGATATTCGCCGGCGACTACGTCTACCTCGCCGATTCGAATTTTCATCTTAAAGCGGGATGGCCTAGATCCGTTGAATACGTCGGATTTCCCCGCGACGCTAGGATAAACGCCGCGATAAACACGCACGCCGGGCGCAGCTACGTCATATACAACGACGATAAAATAGCCGAGATAAACGACTGTGCGATGACCGTCGCGAGGCACGGCGCTCTGCGGGATACGTTTTCCGGGATACCATCCGCGATAACGGCTGCCTTCCGCCATGTCGACGGTAATTTCTATTTTCTGAAGAAACGCGAATATTACGCGTACAGCGAGTTCATCGACGCGATAATCTCGGCCGGTCCCTTCGATCTTAGTATATTGAGAATAGAATGCCCAGCCGATAGCATTCTGCATCGATTGAGCGAACTCGTCTCCAAGCTGTATCGTCTGGAATACACGTCCTTCGAAAGACCGCGCAACGACGACGACGACGATGACGACTAAGATCAGGAAATCCTGAAATCTAACGTTAAGATTACATTTAATATGCTGTTCTAAACCGCTTCCGCTGCATTAATTAACGCGCATAACGCGCGCGTCGAGAATAAAGATATCGAGACGATGATCAAGATCGCGTCGTATATAAGGCGCGTCTCGATCTTTGCGCGACATTTCCAACGATACTCGCGATTAACGCGCGCACGATTCTAAGCGAGCGTCTCCGATGAATCTTTCTCTCTCTCTCCTCGCGACAACCAACGTTAACGACGCCGTCGCCACCGCAGTGTTTTCCTACGAACATCGAAGCCCATGTTCGCGAGACCGATCATGTTCGCCGGACTCGGACAGAAGTACCGCAGAGTGTTCGGGGCGTCCGTGACGCCCGCGACTCTGTCGGCGCCGCCGATGACGGGCCCCTTCGTCGCCCCGCCTAACCGTCGAGACGATTACGCGGCTTCTGCCAAGGACGAGGATGCCACCCGCGATCGTTCCGACACTCCGCCCGTGATCAAGAAAGCTCGACTGTACACCGAGGACAAGTGAGTATGCGCGACGCTTCGCGAGTTACCTCGCCCGAGCGCTCTCGATCTCCACCTCGATCGGCTATTTCATATAACAACGTCGTATTTTTTTTCTCCGATCTCGACAGATGGAATAGAAACTGGCTGTTCAAACGCGAGATCAATTTCGCGAGACATCCGATTCGAATATTAGGAAGACGATATCCGTTGACCAAGACGGCGTACAAGTACATCGACATCGCCGTAGCCGTGAAGCGCAAATCTCAAGTCGACATCGTCTTAGGAGACTGCCATGAAAAGGAGATATCTCTGACGCCCGACATGTGGAAGGATCTGCTCGCTCTGCGCAACGATATACTGCCGTATTTCGAGAACGATTTGGACGAGGCTGTGGCGCGCCCTCCGACGTCCATAATCGTCGGAACTGTGACGCTTCGATTCGGCAAGATAAACAATCTGAAGACGCTGCGATTCGAGATGCCGAAGAATCGCATCGCTCTGTCGCACTCCACCGTGAAGGCGCTGTTCGTTCTCGAGCTATGCGTCAATCACATCATCGCGTCGTTGACCGGCATACTCGAGACCGTAGACGCTAAGTTATCGCGTTTTCTAGATATCGCGACAAAGACCGACCACCCCGGCGATATTCCGGAAGCGATTCGTCGACACGAGCACTTCAACGCGAACGATCTGATCGACTGCGAGTTACACGCTCTGCTATTCGGACTCTATCACAATTTGTAAAACGCTACGCGCGACGAATAAATGTATCGCGATCTCAAACCGTATACTTACCCGTATAACTGCGCTCGAATGAGGCGAAACGATCGCGAGTACCGATATTATTCTCGACGTATGTATCTACGCATGTAACTTCATGACATAATAAAAAAATTTTACACGTAATTTATTCTCTCTCTCCTCGATTTACGTCACCCTCGTCTCTTCTCGATTTGCGACGAATTCCCTCCTCCTCGAAATAAATCTAATATACATCATATATTATACATTATATAAAATCGTACGTTATATAAATCGTACTTTATACAAATCGTACGTCATATCTCTTTCAGGCTTACGTCGAATACATCCGCTCTATTATTAACATCGACTCTATCTCTATCTCGCGCGACGCGCCCGACGGGGCGATCGCCGCTTATCGCGCGCGCCTAGCGCGTCGCGTCCAGAGACGCTCCCGACGCGCCGTATCCAGGGACGCGCGCGCTCTCTCTCCCTCTCCCGCCCGTTCCCCCCTCGCCGCGCCGCCCCCTCGCCCACCCCCTCCGCGTGACGTCACGACCCTCCGTTTACTCACCCGACGGCGAGTGGCTCCCTTCGCCCTACCTACCCCCCTGCTCGCCCCCGCCGCCGTCACCCTGCCCCTCAGATATCTTTCTATCTCTCTCGCTCTACGAGACCTCTCTCTCGCACCAATGGAAAAAGTGGGTTAGAAACGGTCTATTCTCCCTACTCACGTAATCACCGAAATTTTGCAGTAAAAGAATCTTTGGGATATACTGCAGTTGTTCGGTGGTAAGCCGGAGAATGTCTCTCTCATCCGACAGAAGGAGAAACATTTTTGATACTGAGCGGTTTCGAGTCGAGACACTTCTATAAATAGGTCTCCCCCTCGCGATCATTCGCAAAATTGATTCGAAAAAGAAAACATGCGGTTCTTGCGACAAGCGCGGGTAATCAAAGTATCAAATTTCGACGATAGACTAATATCGGAGAAAAAAGTACGCAAGCATGGAAACATGCTGCCGACTACTATACGCGGTATCGTTTGCGGCTCTTCAAACTGTGATAAGACAAACGTGTTGATTAGTTTGATAGAAAGTCCGCACGGTGTACGTTTCGAGAACGTGTACGTATACTCAAAATCGCTTCAACAGCCGAAATACAAATACTTGGAAAATTTACTAACACCTATAGACGAAATTGGTTATTTTACATTCTCTAATAACAGCGATGTCATTCCACCGAGCGAGGCGCTTCCGAATTCCATCTTTATCTTTGATGACGTGGCATGCGACAAGCAGGATACGATAAGAGAGTACTTTGCAATGGGTCGACACTCGAGCGTTGACTGTTTCTATCTTTGTCAGACGTACGCCAAGATACCTAAGCATCTTATACGCGACAACGCGAACCTGCTGATCCTGTTTAAACAAGACGGCACAAACTTGAAACATGTGTACAACTATTACGTGAATACCGATATGTCTTACGACGATTTCCGTGCATTGTGTCAGAAATGTTGGCAACGCAAATATGGCTTCGTAGTCATTGATAAAGATAGTACGTTGATCAATGGACGATATAGAAGGGGATTTAATGATTTCGCGATACCGTAAAGCGATCAGTCATCATCGACACATCGATCGAGCATCATGAATGACGATCGTGAAAAGATTGCGACAGAGATTGCAAAAACGAGCGAATCGATTCGCAAAAAATATCGCGCTTTGAAAACTGGTAAAATGGAGAAAGATATCATATTGGAAAGGCAATTTAAACCGATTACCGAGCCTTTAAAACAGCTTGTCAAAAATACTGTGGAATCTGATGCGTCGAAAATCGAACCGTTGAGTTTGACGTTTGAAGAGAAGCACGAGGAAAAAATAAAAGAGTCCAAGCAAGGAATAAAGCGAGCACGGATAAATATGCCGATAAACGATTCACCAATATATTCGACACCGAATCGATCAAAGCGAAGGAAGCAATTTTCTAATATGGCTACTGTTTTTACTCCGATAAAAGTACAACCGCGTCAAACAATACCATCCACATCCGTCGAAGAAATTTACGAGACCACACCCGATTCGTTTGTAACATCGGTCCGACACGAATTAGAAAGTCCGAAGGTCAGAAAACGTTCGGAGAGCATTTAGGTCCACTGGCGAAGGAATGATGCTAGGTGATAAATGTTTCGATGTGGACAAGGAAGATAATATAATTATCGATGGAATAAAATATAAGGGAACCGAAGGAATACACGATTTGATTTTAAAAAATCATAAAAAATATACTCGAGACGATTTGCATAAATATCAAAGTATATTAAATATAACAAATGCGCATAAGCGCGACAACAAAGTTAATAATCCTATTAAAACTAATAAAGGGTACAAGTACAAATATATAATTGCACCATTATTCTCCGATAGAAAGATGAGAAGAGGTATAGACGCGCCGCGCACCATGACGCTAAGCAACAACATGATCGATTACGTGCATTGGAACGATCCCAACGAATTGGTGGATCGTTTGCGATTGCTGAACGCCTCGCGTCGAGCCGGCAACAATGCTCACGACAATGAAATCTTGTCAATTATCGAAGAACTTCGCGAGGCCGACATTATTATAAATTAAACTATGCGTCGGCGATACGTATCATTCGGCCAATGTTCTCGGTACCGAAATGTCGATTAATAAATTTGGATTATCGTTGGGACCGTCGAACAATTTGTACTATGAATGGAATGGATTATTGAGAAATTACGTTCGTGATAACGCTCTCTGCCAAACAACTACCGGCTTTGACGCAAGGTCGCGCAAGATTAAACGCGTAGCGCAACCAGAAGCTGATACCGACGTCGTTAACAAACGATACGTGGATAAACTTTTGAGAGATCGACAGGGAGAAATTGAACAAAAAATTATCGCGCTCGAAACAAACGTGCAGGCGCTGCGATTAATGATGGATGAGATAAAGAATGTGCTGAGACATGCAACATCTAACTCGACACAGTAAGCGAGATATACGGATATACTAATATCGCATATTAATTATGCCTCGATCAAACGTGTGAGAGAACAAAAACACCTCCGAAAAGCGGCAATAAGTCGAGGAATTACATGCTCCGGCGAGAAGAAATTTTCCACGAAGACGCGTCATTGTATGTGGATACGATGATCTGTGGCAGGCGGACGTGGTGGACATGCGTTCGTACTCTCGACTCAACAAGGGTCATAAATACATACTCACGGTTATCGATGTGTTGAGCAAGTATGCGTGGGCCGTACCGCTCAAGAGTAAGAGCGAGAACGAAATGTCCGAAACGATCGCAAAGATTATTGGAGACGACAAAAGGTGTCCGAAAAATTTTCAAACCGACAGAGGAAAAGAATTTTACAACTCGAGTGTGCAGAAACTCATGAAGAAACACAACATTAATCATTACTCGACATATTCCGTTATGAAAGCCTCGGTCGTGGAACGATTCAATCGTACTTTGAAAAACAATATGTGGAAAATGTTTACGTTGAACGGAAATTACAAATGGATCGACGAGCTATCTCGACTTGTTGCAGAGGACAATATGCGAAAACATCGCACCATCGATATGAGACCTGTCGACGTCACTCCAGCAATCGCCGAAAAACTTTAAATACAGTGTACAGCAACGTAAAAATTGCGGCTCCGGCAAAAATTAAAGTAGGCGATTCAGTACACGTGAGCAAATACAAGACCATCTTTGAAAAAGGTTTCACACCAAATTGGACGACCAAAATTTTTAAGATTATCGAGGTGCAGAAAACTAATCCCGCGACATTCATACTCGAAGATTCGCGGGGAAATCCTGTCACTGGAGGATTCTATGAATACGAGTTACAACGCGTCGCCAATCCCGACGTATATCTCGTGGAAAAAATTTTACAAAAAAAGGGTGACGAGGTTTACGTGAAATGGTTGGGAATGGATAAATCATACAACTCTTGGATTCATAAAAATAATGTATTGTAAACATTTATTGAAACATAAAATATGCGTATAAAATATATAAAATTTATTAAAATATAAATATATACATATATAAATATATAAATATTGTCACGTCCGGCGATCCATAGATCCTTAGATCTAGGAGAAATTTTTTCCTTTTTTCACTATCCTCCATCCAATAAGCTGCAAGCACAAACTAACATGAAACTAAGAGAGACACGCTTATACGTCACCTATAATAAAATACCAATCTGAGAGAGAGATATATATATATCTATATATATATATATATATATATATGTATATGAATCATCTATACGAGCGAGATAGACTTATGTGTAATACTTAGAAAAGACAAGGACCGATATAAGGAAGTCTTTTTAAATATAAGCTTCTTTTATATAAATATATTGTAAAACATGTCCAAAGATTAGAGAGAATCTATTTATGTAAAAATCATGATAAATGACCAATATTTTAAATAATCAAATAGTTATTGTAATTCTTTGGAAAGGGTCATTTATCGTAATTTATGTAAGACACGACCTTGCAAGCAATGCATTCAGAGAACCAACTAATATGTATTCTTAGAAAAACTTTCTCTTAAGGACCATCCAAAAAGTTCGCAAAAATCCATTTCATAGCTAAAGAATTTGTTCTTAAAACTCCATCATAAATTACCCCTACTATTCAACTTTAAAAGAGTATAAAAATTCTTCCAACAACGGAACAAGAGCTCTGTTCAACCTCATTCTTGCTCAGTTTTAGATCAGTCAGTCAGTCAGTTCAGATTCACTCTGGACTTAAAACCCACTCAGATTCTTATTCGTACTGTAAACTGCTAGAGCAATTCAAGTCAGAATAAAGTGTTTAAATATTAAACAAAAGTATATTTCTTTAATCATCATCAATAAAGAAAACCCAATTCAAAGCAGTTAATTATCCTGGGGTTTTACCCCCTTAACCGCAAGAAAAAAGAACCCACAACTAAGACGTTCTGTCGAACTCGGAAAACTGTTGGAAAAGCCTGCCTCACGGAACCAACAGATTGACGTTACCAGAAAACGTCACAACAAAAATTTGGTGGCAGCGGTGGGATTCTAATACGCTGATCCCTTCGAATAAATCGGACTGAGGCCTGGATCCTGTCTACATTTCAAGAGAAGAGGAATACCTTGTCCAGAAGGAATACGACAGCGGGGATAAGACTGCAAATAAGGAATCAAGTCTTCATGGATTTGCGTATTCTCATACTTTTCTTCACTGCGTGCTATATGTAAGTGCTACGAGTATCATATTTCAATTTCCTTCGTGCGGTATTTATTAAGAATATTCTATAAATATGTCTCATACTGGGGAAATAGATGCGTTGACTAGACAAATAGGAAACATGAGCGTAGTTAACGATACAAGCGCCAATCATAGACCTAGTAATACTATACCATATGTAAGCTTGCGCGACGCAGCCGAGACAATTCTCCCATTCGATGGAAAAAATATGCCAGTATCACAATTCGCTAACAGCTGCTTACATGCAAAGAATATGGTCTCTCCCGGAGCAGAATATGGTCTGGTACAAATGATTAAAAACAAATTAGTAGGACCTGCTTTAAGAGTGGCTTTAAGTGGAGAATATAACGATATAGAATCTTTGTTAGCTGTCATAAAAACCAGATTTGCACCTGTTTATTCTTCATCACAATTACATGGAGAACTTTCTAAAGTAACACAGCATCCAGATGAATCTGTGGTGGATTATGGTAGCCGTGTATCAATGCTATTGCAACAATTAAAATCTTGTTATCAAACCGAAAATCCGAACCAAGCGATCCAATTTACTAATTCTGCAGAAGCTAATGCCATCAAAAATTTCTTAACAGGATTAAAAACTGACATATATACTAGACTTTATCCACGTGATCCTGTCAGTCTAAATCATGCTATTGAAACTGCCATAAAGGCTGAAGCTGAATATAATGAACATGCACAAAGAATGAAAATTACTGAGGGACTTATGCAATCGATACGCTGCAATAATTGTCTAGGATATGGACATAATGCTTATTCATGTAGCACCATTAACCCATTGGCTCAAGTAACTCATGTCCAATGCAACCTAAAGTTTGTACATTATGTAAAAATTCAGGACATACACGTGTAGAATGCAGAACCCCTCAATCAAGAGGCTTAAATTATCGAAACACTCCGATAAACAATATGAATCGAAATATGAATTATAATCAAATAAATCGACAAAATCATACAACTTCCAGAAATTTTAATTTAGTATGCCGTTATTGTAAAATACCAGGACATAGCATTGAACAGTGCAGGAAAAGACAATATAATAACGATCCACGAAATCAACTAACTCGATCCAACAATCAAGAAATTCGAATTAGAGAAGGTCAGGGAAACAGGGAACGGGTGCAGCGAAATGGCGCAACGCTGAACGAACGCCCGCGAGTGCGCCTAGTGACTCCCGAACAAACTCACGAAGAAGCGCAAGAATAAATCTCGCATGTAACAAAATCGGTAAACCACCTTCCGTCATTTTACCCAGCAAAGATTTGATAGAGGAACGTGCTAATTTTATGATAGATACTGGTTCTGACATAAACCTGATAAAGAAGAATTCTCTTCATGAGAAGATGCTTATTGATAATAAAGTCGTATTTGAATTAAGCGGAATAACAAAAGGTCGAACTCGTACGTTAGGCGTAGTTAAAATACGCATTTTCGACACCGACACAGAATTCTTCAAAAATCAACGAGCAACTATCGACTACTCGAGGGCCAGTCTAGTTGTAAACGGAATTCCATACTATTTTCATAGTGATGAAACTGTCATGATCCCAGCACGAACACGGAAACAAATCTTCATACGAGTAGCTAATCCTGAAATAAAAAACGGATATGTTCCGAAATTAGATGCAGGGCCGCAGGTGTACTTAGGTAACGCCGTCGTATCCAATCATCACGGAATTGCATATCTATATGCTATAAATTCATCAGACGAGGATATAAAGTTAGCAATTCCTACAGTAAAATTATATCCGTTTGAAGAAACAAAGAATAACAAAGAAATAGAAGAAATCAATGAATCCGAGTCAAGAGATCTAGAATCACGAGTCAATAAAATATTACAATTACTACGTCTCGATCATTTAAACGAAGAAGAAAGAGTAAACGTCATTAATTTGGTAACGAAAAATAAGGAAAGATTCCATTTACCAGGAGAAGCTTTAGGAGCAACTAACGTGTTAAAACATCGTATATTTACTAGCGATGACCGTCCAATTAATGTCAAACAGTATCGATATCCTCAAGTACATAAGGAAGAGATACAACGACAGATTGGAGAAATGTTAGAAAAAGGTGTAATAGAACCATCAAGTTCACCTTATAATTCTCCTTTATGGATTGTTCCAAAGAAAGATGATTCGTTAGGCAATAAAAAATGGCGTTTAGTTATAGATTTTCGTGCCTTAAATGAAAAAACGGTGGGCGACGCATATCCATTACCAAATATTGTAGATATACTCGATCAATTGGGAAGTGCAAAATATTTTTCAATATTAGCATCTGGATTCCATCAAATTTTAATGGATAAAGATGACAAACATAAAACAGCTTTTTCGACGCCTTATGGACATTTTGAATATAATCGCATGCCATTCGGATTAAAGAATGCTCCTGCCACGTTCCAAAGATTAATGGATCAAGTATTAACGGGATTGCAGGGAATCGAATTATTTGTTTATTTAGACGACATTGTTATATACGCACGATCACTTGAAGAACATGAAATAAAATTTCAACGATTAATGAAACGTCTATCAGAAGCAAATTTATTTCTACAACCAGATAAATGTGAATTTTTGAAAAGAGAAGTAGCATATCTCGGGCATATAATAACCGAAAATGGAGTACGACCAGATAAAAAGAAAATAATGGCTGTAAAAAATTTTCCAACGCCAAAAACCAGAAAAAATATTAAACAATTTCTTGGACTTGCTGGATACTATCGACGATTTATAGAAAACTTTTCTAAAATAGCCAAACCGTTATCAGATTTAACCAAACAGTCAAATACGTTTGAATGGAAGAAAGAACAACAAGAAGCTTTTGATAAACTACGAGAAGTTTTGTGTTCAGAACCCATATTACAATATCCAAATTTTAATAAGCCATTTATTATAACAACAGATGCGTCCGGATTTGCAATTGGAGCAATTTTAAGTCAGGGAAAAATGGGATCTGATCTCCCTATAGCCTACGCATCGCGAGTATTAAATAACGCCGAAACTAGATATTCACCTACTGAAAGAGAATTATTAGCTCTTGTGTATGCAGTCAAACATTTTCGTCCTTACATTTACGGTCGTAAATTTACACTTGTTATGGATCATAAACCTTTAGAATGGTTAAACTCGGTATCAGATCCTACATCGCGATTAATGAGATGGCGATTAAAACTCGCGGAATACGAGTATGAAATAAAATATAAACCTGGAAAGAAAAATAAAAATGCAGATGCTTTATTTCGAAATCCTATCGAGGATATAAAAAATATATATCCACTACATGCTAAACGCGCATTCTCCTCATCTAGTGATACGTCAGCAGAAAAAGATTATAAAAAAATAAAAACGTCACATCCTATTTCTAAAAGACAGTTAACTACAGATAGCAACGGATCTGGTAACCCGGCACCACATAAAAAAATAAAGGCTGATGATTTACCAACGTACAACGATTCGAACAAGGAAGAACGTATCGAGTTACATGAAACATTGTCGGATAGTGATAGCAGTACTATATCTTATTATTATGACACCGATATTGATAGCGACGATAATTCCGAAGTAACTTCCAAAAAACAAAAGAGAAAACACGAAAGCAGCTCATCTGGTCAAGGGCGACGTGTAAAACGAAAAAATCGAAGGAAAATGTATAAAAACATCAAAAAATCAAATTCATCAATCGAAGAATACGTTAATCTCAATACCACACCTGGAACATCGCCTATAGAAATAACATCTCCTGTTGAATATCCACATAAGGAAATAGCAGATGAAGATTTCGAAAGCAAACAAAGTTATCGGCATATGGAATTACATGATACAGAACAAAAGCCGATGGAAATAGATTTATCCGATGACAGTTTTAAAGCTGAAACTAATATTAACATAGAAGCACAAATTCACGCACCTCATGGTTCTGCGAGAACACCACAAAATCTAAAAAATATGCAAACATCACAAAAAACCCCTGATAACGTAGATGCAATTCAAATCATTGAAAAGGATATTCCATTAAAGAAAGAAGAAATAGAAGCTATGAAAATAGATCAAGAAGATAAAATCAGGGAAGGGAACGTTACTTTTTAAAAGTAACTAGTTACCGTTACTCGTTACCAAGTTAAGAAGGTAACTAGTTACCGTTATTAGTTATTGATTTTCAAAAGTAACTAGTTATAGTTACTGTTACTTAAAAAATAACGGTTCGTTACTTTTTCGTTACTTTTTTTTAATTTATAATTGTAATAAATTTTGTTTCGTGCAATATATACTCTCTCTCTTTCTTTCTTTATGAAAGGATTATCTAAATCACAAAACATATGTTAAATTTTATCGATATTTTTTATTAATTTTTAATAAAAGTTGATATTCTAATAAGTCATCATTTAGATGGCCTCTAGAAGGTGATAGTACAGAATTACCGATACTAAACAATCTTTCAACCGAAGCACTGCTTGGCAAAGCCGTATTAAATTTAATGAATAACTTTTTTAATTTTGGAAAATCTAGTAATAATGCAACGTCAGATCTTTTCGATTTCAGAAATCGTGTTAGTTCTTCTTCGCCAGATTCTGAAGTTGATGTTGATTGTCCATGAAAATTAAAAAAATCGTCATAATCATTATCTTTGCTTGAGTTTGATGAACTTTCATTTGAGCGAATGTCTAACAAATCTTCTAAATAGGCTCTAGCTAATTTCTTCTTATCTCCATTTAACCAGTTTAGTTTAAATTTAGGATGTAATGAACTTGCTATTATTAATTCCTTTTTTTCAAATATTGTACAAAATCTAAAATTTAAAAAATATACATATAATAAAATATTTATACTTTTATATTTTTTATTATGCAAATATTATATGCATTTTTTTAGTTGTATATTTTTTTATTATTTAATAAATTACCTTCGATTTAAGCCTTCTTGAATTGCGATAACTAATGATTGACAATCCGTCAAATTTTTGATGTTTTTTAATTTTTCTTGTAAGCTGCTCAATACGGGCAATAAGTATCCCATATACATTCCTACGTCACTTTGTAAGATATCTAATGCTCTAGCTAAAGGCTCCATTACCTAAAGAAAATATTTAAAATATATACTTATTAATATACGTGCATATACAATACATATGTATATATATACATATTATACATATAATTAATATATTCTATTACATTAAATATGTGCACTTTACCTGACAATACTCGTCTAAAAATTTTACGTCATTATTTATCAGCCTTTGTAAATTAAAATAGTCCAAACAGTGATTAATTTTATCTGAGCTATCTTTTAAAAGAGTTACAAGTTGATATGTGGAATCAAAAGTTGAATTCCATCTATAACAAATAAATTTTGTTTTTATATTGTATATATGTATAAGTATATATCATGTGTATGTGTGTTCGTATGTTTGTAAGCATATGTATGTGTAAATAGATATTTTTAAAAAAATATAACATTTATTAAAATAAAATACAGAAAAAATATAGATAAATAAAAAATAAGAGCTTTTTTAGTTTTTACCTCGTAATAACTGGAGTTTTTAGATAAACGTCGCAAATATCTTTTATTTTGTCGGCCACTTGAGTAGACTGGTTTTGTTTATTCCACAATTTCGATAATTTTGCAAATATTATTCTGTACTTTTTTTTATATGTGGGATCATTCTCCAAGGCTCTTTCAGAATCTTTGACTGCAATAAGATTAAGCGTGTGACTAACACACCTATGGTGTGGTGGAAGAGTAATATCTTCCTTGTCTAAACTTTCTTCATTCGTAATCAATAGATCACTTAAATTGTGAAATTCCGTGTTAATCTCCTTATCTTCTTCTTTTTCAAAGTCTCTAAAAAATTAAATATATTTATATAAAAATATAATATGTGGTTTTTTTAATATAATGAATACATATAAAATTATTATGCACATACATATAATACAAAAGTGTATATAATATCATAAAATATTAACTCACCGAAATGCTTTAACAAAATTTGAACCATTATCTGTTGTTGTGCAACAAATTTTATTTTGAATATGATATTCAACAAATATAGAGTTAATGGCTTTTGCTAAAACATCAAAAGTATGTTTCCCTTTAATTCTACGACAAGCTAAGGCGGCAGACTCTCTTGTTAAATTTTCTGGATTAATCCAATGGACCGTTACTCCTAAGTAACTTCTATAAAAATAAAAGATTTTAATTATTTTAATTATTATGTAATAAAACATTAAAAAATAAAATATTAATGTAAAAATATTAAATAAAACATAATTATACACACATGTACCTTTTCGCTTTGCTCCATAAATCTGCTGTAGTTGAAACCGTATCGATTTCAGTAAATTGTTTTTCAAGAGCGATTTTCATATCCAGATATAATTTATTAAGTTTATCTCTTAATGTTTTTTTACACATTATTCGAATTGATGAAGGCAATCCAATTTTAATCAAATCAATAAATGCAGGACTCTCAACAACCGCGAGTGGTTGGACATTTTCAACAATAAATCGTAGTATGGCAGTGTCTAACTTATTTTGAGTTATTCCAGCTGTTCCAGAACTCCATTTTTGTAACACACACTGCTTTTTTGTAACATTATTAATGTCTTCTTCATATTGACATTTATTATGTGTGAGTTTAGATTTAGCTTTTTCCAAATCTTTTAAAGAATGTGGATGTTTTACCTATATTAATTCAATATAATTAAAACTTAGAAATAAAAGTAATATCATATATATGTATAGATAGGTATGCATGTATGTATGTATGTATGTATGTATGCATATATGTATGCGTGCATGTATATATGTATGTATGTATGTATGCTTGCATTTATGTGATATATTATATATACATATGTATGTAAATATGTGTGTATACATATATATGTATATTATAAATGTTACAATATAAAGAAAATAATAATATAGTAACTAAAAATTATTTAAAAGTTCAACTAACTAAAAAAGTTTTTAAACAGAAATAAAAGAAAGCATATCTAAAAAAAATTATAAAATTAATTTATAACAAAATACACACAAATATATAGATATATTGAAACAGATATATATGTAAATAACAGATATTAAGATATAAATTTTTATATTAATATTGTTTTAAATTTAAAAAAATCTGTTATAAAATACAAATAATTCTTTGTCATTTACAAAAATAAAAATAAAAAATTTAATGTTAAAAAGAAATAAAAGAATAAAAATATATATTAATTTATGAAAGAATTATTAATTTTTATATTTATTTAAACACACTTTTACATGCCATGCTTTTTATACCTACTAATTTTACATTGGAGATTTGATTCAATGAACTAGAATATACGGTGCAATTGTGTACATTCCTTAGAATCTAAAAAAAAATTTTTTAATTTTACAAATTTTCTTGTATTCTTTTTTATTTAAATATTGAATTAATTACTATTATAAAAATATACAGTTATCGTTATTGCGTTTATTTTGCACAAAGTTTTTAAGAAATTAAGAAATTATTTTATATGTATATATATATATATATATATATATATATATATATATGTATTTATTTATTTATTTAGATATTTATTTATTTATTTATTTATATGTATATTAACAAATAAAATATTGAAATTTATTTATTAACATAAATAAAAATAATAAGAAAACTAAACTTACGCTTATGTGCTTCTTTAAATTGGCTGTGGAGCTTTTGCTAGCATGTATAATTTTTTTGCCTAAACATAATTTGCAAGTAAATGCATAATTCTTCTCATTACTAACAAGGAAAGGGTCGGAAGTGTCCCCCTCCGATTTTAATGAGCTTTGAATATGTTGTAGTCTAGATCAAAATAGGAGACACGTATTTTTTTATAAGTGCTGAGTCGGCCGTTAAGGGGGTGAAACACCTTCTTGAAAAAAATCGATTTTTTCATTTCTCAGCGGATACCGTCGAAGCGATAAGAGATATAAACAAAAGTTTCAAATAAAAGTTTTATGGTCTTTAATGTACTTCAAAATCATGTAATCAGATTTGTCGAAAATGTCATATTTTTCGAAATCCCCCCCCCCTCCCTTTTAATGTTTGAAAATTTTTAAATTTGTCTCATAACAAAACTTATAGCTCATTTAACGACAAATTCAATCATATATAATAAAGTTGTATTCCGAAGTCACATTTTTCAGAAATAAATTAAAAATATCCCTATACACTACTATACGCCCGCTTTATCCGCCTTATGACGCTCGTTATTCACAGCGACAGTCATTTTTCTTCGCAAACTCACAGAGGCAACCATAAATTAGCAATAAATAATTTATGAGAATATATTTTTATAAATTATAGAAATTATATTTATAAATATAATTATAAATTATATAATAATTATAATTATAATATATGTCTATATTATGTGACAATAAATATACATATAATTTATATGGAAAAGTAATGTTTTTAATGCATGAAAAATAAAACTAGTCGGACAAGGAAAATTATTGATCAGATGCCGATGTTAATAGATTCAATTCTATGAATAAACAGATGTCGCATTCGCGAAATGAGTTGGTGCAATATATTATTTTATTAACAACTGCGTGCAGTGGAACACATATTACTATTAAAGCGTCTATCGAATATACGCGAGCGCGATAGTAAATATATTTATATATATAAGAAAATAATTAAAAGGATTATAACTTATAAAGCGAGCGAAAAAATGCGTCGCGATAAGAAAGTCAGCTGCCCGAAGTGCTGATACAGCCAGTATCACACGGCCAAGTCATCAAACAGAGGAAGAAATCACTCTCGAAATAGCGCTGAATTGCAATAAAATGCGAGGAAGTCTTCGGACTTCCTTCGCTTGCATTTTGATCACGCCACTTTAGAAATAACCAATGATTTTATTTGGTCATGCCACCGCGCGATCCTCCTCCGATAATCGTTCAGAACCGGAGGCGTTAAAAGCCACCGCCTAGAAGCGGCGGACAGTCACAAATCAGTTATCAAATAATTAACAAGTGCTCGAGTTAATTAACAAGACTAGCCGTTATCCTGAAAAAACAATTGTGCCCCACGCACACAACAATACAGTATGTATGTACTTTTTCGATTTTTAAAACTTTTATAGTTTTTTGCTTTTACTTACACTTCATTCAAAATTGCGGTTTATCTGTTTTGTTTTAATGTATTTAAATTATAATTAATATTTTATTACTTTATTTAAGTTATGTGATAAAACTGTTCTATTTTTCATGAAACTCGGAAAACGTAACAAATTATTAATACGCATTAAATAATAAAATATTTTTGTTGCTAATAAGTATTTTTTTGCTAATATTTATAAAACAAATATACATAATGTTAATAATTTTTTTAGATAATGTTTAATCCAAGAAATGTAGCAGTACTGCTATACACTGCACTGTATATGACTGGGGAATTCCCAGAAAGTCCTGTTACAACAGATGAAAATGAAACAAAAGACATGATGGAAAATATGCTTCGATCAATGTATGAAGAAGCGTTTGAAGTTTATGAAGAATCATCATTAGATTTTCAAAACGAATTTGATATACCTGAAGTAGAACCTGTAATTGATGAAGAAAGAGAAGAAGACACATATTTTGTAAAAGAAATTGAATGTGTTGCGGATTCTGTACCAATAGAATATAAAAGAAATGCAGTAGAGTTATGGAGAAGTGGAACAAAAAAGTCAAGAACTCTTGCATCTATAAGAAATAGATTTCGGAAAGTCACGTCATTACGTCAATTAAGAAGATGGGAGCAGCAAGTAAATCAAGGTGGCAACAGATTTGATAAACTGAAAGAAATTTCAACATATACGTTAAATAAATTCCATGAAGGTATTGAAAAGGGAATAATTATTCATGACATTGATATTGCTCGATGGGCTCTTCGCGCACAGATGGAAGTAAATCTACTTGGGTTTACAGCATCATTATCATGGGTAAAAAGGTTTAAGCTTGCACATAATATCGTATCTAGAAAAATTACAAAATTTATAACAAAAAAAAATTTAGCGTCAGACAAAGATTTAGAAGCACGAAGCAAGTCATTTATCGAAAATGTTAAATCTTCTATTATACAATATGGAATTGAAAATGTATATAATTCGGACCAAAGTGGATTTCAATTAGAATTTCATTCCGGTCGTTCACTATCACCTATTGGTATTAAAAAAGTAGAGCGCATAGTACAATCCATATCAGCAACTACACATAGTTATACTATACAACCTATTGTTTCAGCTGATGGTAGATTATTATCGCCTCTGTTTATTGTTTTAAAAGAACCTACTGGAACATTTGGTCCAATAGTAAAAGAAACAATGTTTAAAGATAATAATATCTTTGTCATGGCATCAAAATCTGGAAAATTAACATCGCATCATTTTGAGATCTGGATAAAAGAAGTGTTTTTTCCAAATGTTGGACCAAAATCAGTGTTATTATTAGATTCTTGGACTGGTCATTGTCCTGATATAATTCAAAGAAACAAACCAGATTTTATAGACAATATTAATTTGTTAACTATACCAGCTGGAGCAACGGGAAAAATACAACCTTTAGATGTATTCGGTTTTCGTTTATGGAAAAATTTTGTTAGACATTTTTCAGATACCATCATGCTTTTAGATCTTGACGTCAAGCTTCATTCAAGAAACAATATTTTAAAATTACAATCATTAACACATAATCAATTTTCATCACCAAGGTTTAAAAATTTATTCAAATATGCATGGTATAAAAGTGGTTATTTAGAAAAGAAACCAGAAGAATTTGATACACCAGTAGATTTTTGTTTCAAAACTAATTTAAAACCAACATGTGATATTTGCGGTGAAATTGCTGTAATTTCTTGCGCATGGTGTAAAAAATCCCTTTGTATAAATCATTTCTTTCATGATCATCATCTTTGTAACCGATATCAACCATGAATATTTGTTATTCTTGTATGCAATAATTATGTACGGTATTTTATGTAAT